CAAATACTTTCAGGTTGGCCGAATTATTCTGGGAGCAGCTTCAGCAGTTAATCTAAAGCGAATAACTTTAGAATTAGGTGGCAAGAGCCCTCTTGTGGTTTTCAATGATGCTGATGGTAATTTAAATTCTGCATTTTCAATAAAAATTGTATCTCTTCTTTGTTGTTTGTTAGACAATCATTAACAATTATTAAACTTACCTTAATAAGAGTCGTTGCGATACGAATCCTTTCAAAGGCTTGGCAATTAAGTTTTTAATTGCCAAGCCTTTGAAAGGATTCGTATTTGAAAGGACATATACAAAATAACTTCTAAGCAAATTATTAATCTATTGTTGAATGTTTTAGTGGAGAAAGCAGCCCAGATAGCTCATGCAGCAGCATTCGCAAACGCTGGCCAATGCTGTTGTGCTGGCACTAGGACCTACGTACAGTCTGGGATCTACGACCAGTTTGTCAAGAAAGCAGCAGAGATTGCTTCCAAGAGATCCGTTGGGAACCCTTTTGATAATGTCCAACAAGGACCTCAGGTTAGAAAGCTTGAGCTCTAACTACACAACTAAATTTTTATGAAAATTTCTGCTAAACAGTATTGGTTTCATGGTCCTACCTAAGTATCTTGTCATGTCCTAAGTAATGTCAGCACAATTAGTCATAATTCTACATTCTTCTAAATAAGGCATCGAATTCACTTTGATTTTACTACATTTAAATAAACAAGGGCTGATCAATGGTCATGTCCTCTAAAAACGATTAAGTACATTTGACAATTGCTTGTAAAACATGACAGATAAGGGCATTGCCTACAACTGAAACGATATTTCCAGATAGACCAAGACATGTACACCAAAGTTCTGAGTTACATTACGGCTGGCAAGGAAGGTGGAGCAAAGTGCGTAGCTGGAGGAGACAAATTGGGAGAAAAGGGCTACTACATCAAGCCGACTGTATTTGCTGATGTCACTGATAACATGAAGATTGCTAGAGAAGAGGTAAGACCGTGTAAAGAGCGAGAGGGACAATTTTAGACTTGAGACTCAAGTTTCAAATGATGATAATGATGATGATAAATTGCGATTCCATAATATTATAATCATTCATATTTCTATGGTCCTTCAATAACTAGGAGCATTTCAAACAAAATATCGAATTGTTTCTGAAACAAGTCAGTACGTCTCTAATCAATGATCAAGCTTTTCTATAAAACCAATAAGGTGAGAAAGAAGCTATTTTATAGATTTTCCTGATTCGGTGATGTTATATTATTTTTCAGATATTTGGTCCAGTACAAAGTATCTTAAAATTTGATACGTTTGAAGAAGTAATAGACAGAGCAAACGATACTAATTATGGACTTGGTGCTGGGGTCATCACCAATGATATTACCACAGCTCTTAGCTTCGCGAAACAAGTTCGTGCGGGATCCATCTGGTAAGTTAAGATAAGTGGTGCCTACTCTAATTTATTAGATAAGATTGCTGACTTTAATTCAAGTATTGATATGAAAGACTTAAGAGATATTTAAGAGAAAGAACAAGACAGACAAAATAGAAGAAACCACACATTTCACTATTCCTATTTCTATCGATTTTATAGGAACATGCTATAGGTTTTGTTAAAAATAAATTTGTTTTAAATTTTTCAGGGTGAATACGTATGACCACACTCCTAGTCAAACTCCATTCGGCGGTTTTAAAGATTCCGGTCTTGGCAGAGAGTTGTAAGTGAATATTTTTGTTGTTATTTTTAGGCCACATTTCGTAGAATTTTACAACTTTTAAATGCTGGTGACGTCTTTCCTGGTATTTCATAACAAAAGGTAGATTAAATAGGTACTTTGTCGTTTCACTAATAAGGTTATCTATACATTGCCTTGTATGTATCTGCGTTTCTATTGCATTTAGCAATTGATCGCAGGAACCAATTAAAAAAAAACTACTCTTCTTAGGCATACGCTTTTGACCGATCCCTCGTGGTCATGATGCCTTTTATTTATCATTGTCCACGTCTTCAATAAAAGTATGTGTATACAGAAGGTACCGGACGTTTGTTTTCTATAAATTTGATGTCTACAAAATGTTTAAAGGGATTTTTTTCTTTTTTCAGGGGTGAAGACGGTATCAACCAGTATTTGGAAACTAAAACAGTAACGCTAGCATTGCCGAAACAGCCTCAGCTGTAAACGTATTTCTTCTATTGTAATTTCTGATAATATTTAATTTATAAGTGTAAACTATACTACCCAATAACCATAATGTAAACTGCATAGCTAATGCAGGGTGACTGGTAACTTGGCCTTATATTTACAAAGAACAATTTTATATATGAATAATTGTTGTTTTTGACAATGTTTGCAGCAGCCGTCCACCAATGGTTTATATGTTGCATTCTAAAATATAATGATAAACAAACTAACTTGTTTTATATTGTTTACGTCATCCGAGATTCTACAAGGGCTAGTAGCCAGATTGCTTCACTAATCAGATTCAGAATAGTTTACCAACTTCAAAAAGGAAGGGAGTATTTTAAGTCTCCTTTGCTCCCTCTGGACTAGATAAGCCAATTATTGATTTTTAAACCTAAAAACATCACTATGATTTTCGTCGTCCATGTTTGTCGTGCTTGCGTTTACCGAGATATAAATCGACTTACAACACATCTCAACTAGCATTAAAGAAACAATGTATGGAATATACAAATAGTTATTCAGTGCGGTAATCGGACACGCAACGTGTCTCGCAGCAATCAAGAGTCAATTGGCTAGTCACTACGCCAACCGTGCAATCAATACTTTATCAAAGGACAGCAAACCCGCCATCGTGTATTTGAAGAGTAAGTAGTCCCATAAACAACTTACCTGCGTGCCTAGTCTAATCTGGCCACAAAAATGTGGCTAAGAAACAAAGATATTTTCACAAATACCAATAAATTTAGATAAAAACCAAGATTTCATTTGCACCATTTTATCAGGGCAAAAGTCAATAAAGTATTTGCCAAGTTTCTTTAAAATTCTTATAATAACAGAAAATAGTGTTGCAATTGTGTCTGAGGGAACTTAAACCTAAGCATACAAATGATGGGATGTATCTACTAACAAATATCTTAAATTTTAGATTGGAGTAGAAATTAACTAAAATTCGCGGGTTACTCACGTGTAAATGTTGAGAAAAGCTCTACTAGTTTCGAACCACAGAGGGGTTCTTCCTCATGAGCAGCGTGCGCGGACGCGGCGACGTCGCGCAGCCTACTGGTTAGCGTTGGCGCCTGCATCGCTGTTGATGGTTGCGCTGCGCCCCGGTGAGACCGCGATACTGGTGGAGGTACGTCGATGACGTATTCGCAATCATCAACCGGGAACATGTAGCTGAATTTGTGGGACACTTGAACTCAGTGCACGGCAGTATACAATTCACCACTGAAGAAGAGAGAGAAGGGATGTTGCCGTTCTTGGATGTCCTCGTAAGACGAGAAGAAAGTGGTCGATTGTCACACACAGTGTATCGAAAACCGACACACAGACCGATACTTACGAGCTGACTCACATCATCATCCCTCCCACCTAGCCGCTGTCCCGCGGACTTTGATAAACCGGGCGCTGAGTCTATGCGATCCACAGTACATTGACGACGAATTTCACCATTTAAAAAGGGTACTGGAGAACAATGGATACAACTGGCGTCAATGTACTCGACTAGCGAGCAGCTCGAGTAGGAAGCGACCAGCAGTTGCGGAGCGGACTCCAGCGTTCTTACCCTACGTGAAAGGAGTAACCGACAGAATCGGACACCTGCTGCAACGTAAATATAGCATCAGGACGATCTTCCGCCCACCCGGTCAGCTGAGACAACTGCTACGCTCGCCAAAGGATAAGGATCCACTAGCTGTGCCCGGTGTGTACATTATACCTTGCGACTGTGGCTCAAGTTACATCGGAGAAACTCGGCGCAACATCACAACCAGGCTAAAGGAACATATACGTAGCGTGAAGAAGATGGACATCCAGGCATCGGCTGTGGCTGAACATGTTTGCGGCACGGATGCGGCTCACTTCATACGTTTTGATAAGGTCTCCGTACTAGCGAGGGAGAAATACTTCGTGCCGCGAAAAGTGCGAGAGGCCATCGAGATTAGCCGACGTCCGTGCTTCAACAGGGATGGTGGCTGGGCATTGCCACCCGCGTGGAAGCCGAGCTTGGAAACTACGTCGGTCCGAAGCGTATCCAGTCTGGAGTGTGACACAGTAAGCGTCATATGTAACACAGACTTTGTGCCGGGCCCGGAATCGAACCCACTACCCGCGCCACTGGTGAACGTACCGTGCGCCTCAACATCGTCACACGCGCCGCCGCCGGAGATGGCAGCAAACGCGCGTGGTATCCGGCAGATGGCGCGTTGGACTCGCCGCAGCGCAACCATCAACAGCGATGCAGGCGCCAACGCTAACCAGTAGGCTGCGCGACGTCGCCGCGTCCGCGCACGCTGCTCATAAGGAAGAACCCCTCTGTGGTTCGAAACTAGTAGAGCTTTTCTCAACATTTACACGTGAGTAACCCGCGAATTTTAGTTAATGGAGTAGAAATCTTCTAAACGACGTTCTATCTTATTCATACAATTTTAAAAACAGATCGTAGTACCTACCTAATCATCCTTTGACCTATTAAACCCCTCAATAATCTCCCTTATGGGTTTTCACCCTTGACCGTGACGCTTGCGTTGTTTATCGCCGTATGAGTAAGGTTACCGGATTTTCAATTTCAATTCTAAAATCAACAATCCCTAAAAGGCAGAGTATTTGCAATTTACATAAGTGTCGCAGATGGCGCCGATTGTTAACCGTCAAAAATGATCCGATAGACAGTTTGCCAAACTATCCCATAAAAAACTAAGGCGAGTGGATCTTAGACACATGACAAGTACATGTGTATTTTCTTAACCATATTTTAGTACGACTGCAGGAAGAGAATGATATCAAATTTAGCTCTGTATATTAAAAAAACTCACCAACAATTTTGTACTGTTTCTCAGTGAGATGGTTGGAGATCATGCCGCAGATGTGAGCTCCTAGTGAGTGTCCCACACAGGTGGTCATCTTCGCCAGACCTCCAGCTTGAGTGATAGCTGAATAGAGCTGAGCTGTGCACTGGGCTGTCTTCCTGGAATTTACAAAGACTTGTGAAAGATATATATACTTGATATAACGGTTGTGTCAGTTGGAAAGAGCGATATGGAAAGTCTTGGTGAGGCCAAGAAGACAATGAATTCAAATGTGTCAATTGCTCAACCTTCTAGATGTTTAGCTTCACAGGTTTTCGATTGTTGTGTAATTATTATTAATCCTATTATTGTGTATAGAGCGACCAATGAGCAGAGGTCTCGAGTCTACCTCCAATGTAACTTCCTGACGAATACCTAATTTAACTTTTCCGAGTTATATGACGTTCTTTGTAAGTTTATTTCGACACCTCTGACAAACGGTTTGAACGAAATTATCGTGTCGGAACCTGAAGTAATCTAATTATGCCTTGAGCAAGGGTGGGTGATTAATCATCAAACCTTCTTCGTGTTAGAAGAGGCCTTTGCTCAGCAGTAGGCACTCATATGATGACAACGAACGATATGAATAATGCAGAAAGCAGAAAAAATCACGCAATGACTATAGGTACTTACTTCATATTAGACAGAGCAGAAAGGTAACAGGGAAACCGTGTGAGCACCGACCAATCCACCATGAACACGTTGTAATCCTTGCGAGAAAGGTAAGCTGGAAACAGAAATCTTAAAGAGTTAAAACAATCAGAGAAAATTTAGAATGCCTTGACATCTATCGGCCCTAAAAATTCAAGCGTTGTCGCGAGAAAATATCTGGTTTTAACAGATTCTTTAAATAAAGATATGCATTTCCCACCTGAAGAAGATACGTTTTCAAGGAATTAAATATTTATAGGAATTAAACATCAATAACATATGTAATTGACTTTTAAGTCATTAATTAGTAGTACTTTTTTTGTAAGTATACATTTTTGCAAATAAGTTATTTCTAGTTGTAATGATGAACTTACCATCTCTGATAAAAGTCATTGGAGTTTTGGAATATGTGCCGTTGAAGCCGTGGATGATGAGGACATTCTTTCTTGTATTCTTCCATCCGAAATCGTGAAGCAGTTCCGGATATCGTGGATCTATGAAGTGTTTGTGTGGATATTCTCTGAAATTTTTAATAGTACCTGGTTATAGAAACAGACCTACAGAGGGAGAAAATAAATAAAAAAGGAGAATGATACTTAATTATTTATGTATTTGATAGAATCTTGGTATGGGGCATATATGAGGTATGTATTTAGTCTTCCTAACTATGGTTATAGTGATACATATTCTTAAGCACTGTTATAATATCGATCATTTAAAAAATGGTGTCAATATTGATTGAAAATATGAAAATGAGACATTTTACTTCATTACAATGTTTATTACTGAATTTACTACTAGTGTGACTTTACTGCTTTATTGTAAGTACCACGGCAAAAAATATAGACTCGTTTGTGGTTGAACTATTGAGGGAATACACTATATTCAGATACAATACACATTTGGATAATGTACCACCTCTAGCCATAATAACCTAGCAGTAAATCTTCATTTACGGAGACGTGGCGCGTCAAGTGTTCTTTATACATTGCAGCGAGAGACCGCGTCATGACTCATGCAAACACAAACACGCGAGCAATGTAAGACGTGCAACGGCTCTGTACGACATTTCAACATTTACCTCTAATAAAAGTTACTTACGGCGTATACATGAAGAAATTAATTTCACTGTCTGGACACTTCCACTCTCTCTTCATAACGCATCGAAAGTATCGAAAATCAATCATGGATGCAAGATCGCCATCCGCATGAGATACTAGAATAAAAATTACATTCTTAATTCATGTTACATGTTTGTGGAATCGAGAAAGGCAAGCTTCTAAGTGCCTACAATTGTTATTGCCTAAGGCAATACACGTGCGCAATATTTAATTACTTAAGTAGGTGATTTTAAACCTGTTTTAGTTAATCTATATATATATATGTAAGTATACTACCTAATATTATAAATTTGTAAGTTTGTATGTAGGGGGTAATCTTTGGAACCGCTGGTCGGATTGCCAAAATTCTTGCACTGATGGATAGCTACAATGTTCCTGAGTGCTATAAGCTATAAAACATTACGCTACGGTCAAATGGAGCAGCAGGTGAAACAGCGTGTGAGAGTAGCTAGTCTTCTTATATATAAAAATGGAAAATGGATGAAATAAAAATATAAAAAGGCAAAATGTGTCGGTAAGCGCATAACTCAATAACACCTGGACCAATTTGGCTAATTATTTTTCTGTTTTATCTATTATTGTTACAATAAGGTTCTTATCAAATAAAATATTAGAAAAGTAGAGGAGGAATTGGGATAAAGTGACCCCCTCGTAGTTAGCGAGATAGTTAGACCCATTAATTAGAAGCAGCGACGGGCCGCTACCGCTAGTTCGAGTATTACAAATATGTTTTTGTGAATACTTAATTTACATAAATTACTATTAAACAGCTTTAGACTCCGTGTTCCGTTTATTTATTTTTTTAGCAACTTAGGACCGTTGGCGCTAAGTGTTATATCTAATAACCGCATTATCCAATTTAATCAAGCCGTTCCGTAGATCTGCACGCACATACCTACTTACTCACATTTTGACCATTATTCAGGTACCGATATAGCTTCCTTAGCGTGAATAATAAATCAATTTTACAATATACAACGACTTATAACTATAATTTTGTATTATGTTAAGATTGTGTTAATTAAATTTATAGCTGATTAATGTGAGTCCATTTTATTTGTGCATAAAATCACGGACCCTGAACTAGTAAATCATAGATGTCTATTTGAATCGGACACGCAACACGATAACACATTATCCAATCACTCGGCTTATATTAAAACCGTACAATATAATTTAATATCTACATCCAAGAAGTAGGTAAGTATAATATCTGTTTGCATATTTTGCATGCAATTTGTAAAAATCTAACAAGTAAGCTTAGTGTGTAATTTGGATCATTAATTTTAAGATTGGAATACAAGAATAGTTAGAGAATCGCGATGTGAATTGTTTTAATTTAAAAAATACATATCTAATTGTGATATATCACATCCATTATCACGTTTAAAGTTAAACTAAGAATTTAATATTGTGAATAGATAATAAAAGAGGATTTTTACGTCAAACTTTCTCTAAAAAATCTAATTAAAGTAAAATCGATCCCAATTTCATTCACAAAAGTTTCACAGCAGTTCATAGCAATATTTTTTTTTATTTAACTTTTTAAAACAAACTGGCATGTTGTAGTCAAGCCTGGTTAATTTCTCTATGAGTTAAGCTAACCTTTAAGTAACGCAAGAAGAGCATAGTCGGTGAAATAAGGCAAAAGAAAAATGTTATATAAATACCTTATTATATGCTATATATAAAATGTCGTGGTAACCCGGAGGTTAAGGAGCCCGCTTCTCGTGCATGAGGGTGTAGGTTCGAAACCTGGCAAGTACTAATGTGACTTTTTCCGAGTTATATGTACTTTCTATGATTATTTAGACACCAATGACAAACGGTGAAACCTTCTCCGTGTGAGAAGAGGCCTTTGCTCAGCAGTGGGCACTTATAGGCTGATGATGATATATAAAATAAAATAAATATCAGTAGGTACCTACATAGTAATGTATTTAAGTTGGTAATGCTTTAATAACTAAAATCAAAGTATTATCGCCATACATTGTCAACCTAATACAAGATTTTCTTATAAACCTGTGCAGGGAGAGTGAATGGAAGCTCTATATCATGGTACTTTCACCACCAACTCGTGTACCGGACCGGCCAGTTTAAACCAGATAAACGTTCATTATTTACACTCACGTGAATTATTTCAATATTACATTGTAAAATTACAAAAAACAAGTTTACACATTTAATCGTGGTAATTCGAGACACAATAGAAAAACAATAGGGACGCGAATATTGGCGTTCGCTTGGGTTTTCATAAATTAAATCGTGTACGTTGATTAAACCTCCTTGGCCGCGGTGATGAAGGAACAATAAAAATAATAAAAATGATTGCTTGGTGGGGATTTCATAATTTTTTTTTTTTTTTGTTATTGTTTGCAAACGAGCAGTCGGATCAGTTGATGATAAGCAATCTGCGCCGTCCATGGACCCTGCGGAACCAAATGTCATAGGCGCTTTAAGAAGGAGTAGGTACGCTCGTCTTTTGAAAGGTCATATCGGTTCGGAAATACTGCCGCCGAAAGATAATTCCATTCTATCCATTATTCCATAAGTGTGGGAGAGCCATGCTTCGGCACGAATGGGTCGGCATGACCGGAGTGATACCATACGGTCTCACAGAAAACCGGCGTGAAACAACCACAGCGTTGTGTTTCGCCGTGTGAGTGAGGTTACCGGAAGCCCAATCCTTCCCCTCCCCCAATCCCGCCTCAATCCCTAAATCTCCAAATCCCTAAAAGGTCGTCAAAGCACTTGTAACTCAGGTAATCCGTCTGCTCGTTTGCCGATTTATTACATAAAAAACCCCAATTGCATCTTCTTGATGAACTATGTTCTTACAAATAAAATATTCATTCTTTCTTTCTTTAGTTTTGCTGTGCAGGGCAGAACATTTCGTGTAACTTTGGTGACAATATAATTAGGTAAACCTACTGATACTGACTTTTTTTTTTATTTTTTTTTATATGTAATAGGTCGGCAAACGAGCAGACGGATTACCTGATGGTAAGCAATCAGCGCCGCCCATGGACACTCGCAACGGAGGAGTTACGAGTGCGTTGCCGACCTTTATGAGATTAGGGATTTGGAGATTTAGGGATTGAGGAGGGATTGGGGAAGGGGAAGGATTGGGCCTCCGGTAACCTCACTCACACGGCGAAACACAACGCAGTGGTTATTTCACGCCGGTTTTCTGTGAGGCCGTGGTATCACTCCGGTCGAGCCGACCCATTCGTGCCGAAGCATGGCTCTCCCACACTTATTATTATTTTATATAAAAGTCCAATTAAAAGTGGTCACTAATCTACAAATCTGACGAAAGCAATCAAATTATTACTTGGTAGGTAGTTTATGCCTTCTGATAGAAGAACATCAAGGAATCAGTCAGGCAAGACTTATCTATTCGATAAAAAGTAGCCTATAATTATTATGTAGACAAATAATATTCAAGTAGTATACAGCTTGTAGAAGAAATAACATGAATGTAGCATGGGACTAGTAAAAATTTAGAAATAAAAACAAAAATTGAGAGACCTTTGTTAAGAATCTCGATATTTACCGATTTTGGGACAAAAACTAAACATTTTTGGCCGAGTTATTATTTTGAATTGTTAGTAATTATGTGAATGAAATGCAAACCGAAGACCATGAATTCCTTTTTTCTATAGAATTTATAGGTAAATTTATTCAATTTATTTTGACTACTTATACTTACTTTTGCCCACGACTTTGTTCGAGCGGAATAGTGACTTCCTGCAGATTTTTGGTTTAAAAACTCCTATTTCCTTTCTCGAGTTCCAAACTATGTCTATACCAAATTACACACAAATAGGCTGAGAAGTTTAGGCGTGAAGAAAAGACAGACAGTGTTACTTGCGCATTTATAATACTTATTAGTTTGGATTACAACTTAGTAAAAGTTCCGTAGTTGAAAAGGCATTACTTTGTCTTAAGACGTAATTTTCCCATTAAAGTCGTGACTAAAATATAGCAGGCATTTAGCTAGTGGTCTGAATGTAAATTTAAAGACCACAGCGGTGTAGCTACGTGCAGAATATACAATGTTCACTTAACATACATTTATAACATTTATACCCATGTAGGAATTCAATGAACCTTATTTTAATGGGACAAGCCATTTTCACAGGGGAAAATCCTCATGGACTTCCTCCCGCGGGTCTGTGGTCGGCGAGTACCGAAGGGTATCTCGCCGCCCGACCACAACCAGACCCGAGCGTACGGCGCGTAGCGTTCCGAGCTCGCCTCAAAGAGCCAATAGACCACCACAGACGGGGCCCTATAGGGCTGATGTTCAGCCGGGGTTGCGGGGTAAGCGCAATGAGGCACCGCGACCTCGGCCCAGAGCAGGAAAAGCAACAGGGGTTTTTAGTCAGTAAGAGTCTGACACAAATGGGCCGGAGAAGTCATTTGATGATTTTCCCCTCACGAAAAAAAAGAAATGCCTCCTCCGTCCAAGAAAAGGGGCGTAGTGAGGTGTTTAACTACCCCGTGCATCACCTAAGAGCGGGTGCTCCACCTCAGGTCCACCGAGTAGGAGACGGAGACATTCCTCGCCCTTGAATCCATTTATGGGGAGCGGAAAAGGTCATTATCAATCCTTCTGCTCTGGGTGCGCCTTCTACGGCCGGGAAAGGGAGTCAAGATCTCCCTCTCCCGCTCTGAAGCTTCCGTCTGCGACATCACGTTCTCGCAAAAGTACACCACCGCGTGCCACGACTACGCGCTAATGGGACAAGCCTGCCACAACCTCCGAAGTCCAGTTTACCCAGTTGTATCCACATATTCATATAAATATACATACATTTTCAAAGTGTATTCCTTTATGTTCAATATTATTATACGTTCCCATTATACTCGGATTAATCTTAGTCCGGCTCAGATCAGGAGATCCTATCCCCAGTTTACGGCTCGTATAATTACTAGTAGAGTCAGGAAACACTCTCCGTTAAAACTAAACCATATATATAACTTAGATGAAAGATTAACGTAGAAAGTGGCCTAATATTCTATATGTACGAAATTATAAAGATAGGCAATAAAATTAACATACGAAAGTAATTGGGAACTTTTAATATCA